GAAACACTTAAAATCAAACATGTATAAATGAAGCATATGATTTATAATTAATTGTTCCCAACGATCAGCACAGAGAAATGTTTTATTCATGTGGATTAAAATTATAAAATATTCTTGGAAACAATTATATGCTAGATAATAAACAGAAATTTTGTTCAAAAAACTTTTGTACCAGCCGTTATTTCATAAAAGATGCGTGTACTTGGTCTAGATCTGTATTAGCTTCTTTATATTAAAAATTCAGTGGTAGAATTTAATGCTTTTTCCGTCTAGTACTTAGTAGATATCGTTTATAAAAAGCGAGATCTGTGCTTAACTAATGCGATATTCTTAATCAGTATTCAAAACTAAGTAGATTTATATGATTTTCAAGTATTTTTATAAATTCAACAGCGGGAATGAAATTTTCGGGTTGTAAAAGGATGAAAAAACTCAAAATCGCAGATGATTAAACAGTAAAACCTACGTTTTGAGAGTGGTGTAGGTTAACTTTATCTTTCTCACACCTACATTCTTGCATACAAATTTAAAATGATACTTGCAGAGTATTGTTCTTTTAAAATCGATCAATTTAATTTCTATAAACGGTTAAAGACATTTTCTTGTCTATTTGGTTTTTTTCTCTTGTGCTATTTGCATAGTTCTAACTTGTCATGAACGGGATCAATCGTTTTTGGTCTCTGTAGAACCAAAATCATCCTGTATATTCATCCTGTACGATCATGACATATCTTGTGTTATTAACTGAAAACCGGTGTATAACTACAAGGCAACGAATGAAAATATAGCACGACTTACAAAACTGGGAAGTGTGAAATTTTGCCTGAAATCATAAATATGATTAAAGATGATGATAGAATATTTATATTTATATGAAACCTGTTGCAGTAGTCAAGCAAAACAAAAATACTTGGCGAACTCTGTATACATGTAATTAATTATTTTACATGAAATCTCCTAAGAATCTCTAAAATAATCGGTATATGGTAAGCGTATTGTTAACGCAGTTTCTTAATCCGTAGCAATTCATATTTAGACTAATAAAATCCATAGGCACAAGGATTTGTCAAACTAATGAGACATCTTTCAAAATGATTTGTTTTTAGAAGAAAATTTTATCATAGAATTACTTCTGAATTGTACAATGCACCACATTTTTCAAGGTAGTACGATAAGAAAAAAACTCCGTCCATAAAAAATGTTAACATGATGATGAAATCTTTCACAACGTATGCAACTTACTCATTTAATGACGTCATTTCACGATCGTAAGAATGAAAACAGCAGTACACACACGTTGCATTTCTTTTTGTCAATTTTATTTTTACCAACATCAGCTGAAAAGTAAGATTGAGTAACTCTAATGTTTAGACCATCTATTTAAATGCCCATTTCTGTTGAATAAAATTCGTTGAAATTAATATTTAAGTTTTTATCTGTCATATTTTACATGTTCTTTAAAATAAAAACATTGTACAACAATAACCTAAAATTATTCATAGATAGACATATAGGCCTAGACAAAAACTGTTGCAGTAAATATTTTAAATATATCTGTAATTATATTTTAATTTGCAGTTATGTGCTATCAAAATAAATCGAATGTAATGAAGGCACTTCCATCATCAGATTTTCACAGATTTAATTTGGTAATTGTCATCCAAATGAATTTTTAAAATTTTTCATTATTATAGAATTCCTTTTTAAATAAAAACTAACTACATATTCTGATAGAACATGAAGTCTTCTATCATCGGATATACTTTACAGTCATTTTGCATTTATTTGCTGTGAATAGTAAATGTAGAATAATAGGTAAATATACAGGATGATAGAAAATTTGAAGCTGTATCGGTATTTTTGATAGTGTATAAGTGCAAACTAAAACGTAAATATGCAAGACGTTAGAAAATTTTGAATTCTTTCAGAGTATGAAATCATTTTCTTTTTTCGAAGCATATATATATAATAAAGAAAATTCAAATATTTTTCTCTCTTGAACATTTAAAGATCTAAATGGCAACCAGTACATCTTCAATTTCTTCATGGGCACAAAATACAACTGTATATGGATCAAATGATTCTTTTCTATTACTCGATATCTTTCCAAAAGATGTAGCTGATGATTTATTTTATAATATACATGATGAAGTTAAATGGAATACAATGCGACAAAAAGGTAAACTTGTACCACGTCAAATTTCTATACAAGGTACAATAACCATTGAAAATGATGATGAATATGAACCACTCTATCGACATCCAGCTGATGAACAACCTGAACTTGTTTCATGGACACCAACAGCATTGAAAATAAAAGAACGAATCGAAGAAATTTTACAACAAAAACTTAATCATACATTAATACAATATTATAAAAATGGAAAAGATAATATAGGTGAACATTCAGATAAAACATTAGATATTTTACTTGGTTCAAATATTGTTAATTATAGTTTAGGTAAAATTTATTCAACTAATAAATTATCATTTATGTTTTATTTGTTTTTATTTAGGTGCTGTTCGTACAATGACTTTAATAAATAAACGACAATATGGAGTTCGACAAGAATTTAAATTACCTCATAATTCTTTATTTATTTTGGGTTGGCAAACAAATCGTGAATGGTATCATGCAATACGTCCAGATAAACGACTTAGTTCAGAAAAAGATTCTGATGAACTTGCATTTTATGGTGAACGTATATCATTAACATTACGAAATGTTGCAACATTTATAAATCGTCGTACAGGATTAATCTATGGACAAGGTGCACGATATAAAACAATTGCTGAACAAATAAACAAATCATTTGATGAATATGAAAATGATGAAATGGATATGGTTTTTGCATTTAGTGCTGAAAATCGACAATCATCAGAATTTGATTGGAATTTAAATTATGGTCGTGGATTTAATGCACTTAATTTTAAAGTTCTTAATTCACAGAATAATAAAAGAAGAAAGTAAAGATTTGGAATATATTTTAATGTTTACTTCATTGTCCCGGTTTACATATTTCAAATAAAATTATTAATTAAGTTATTGAAACTCTGAATAGATCTTTTTTTTAAATAAATCTTCTTTGGTAAAAAAAAAGGTCACAACAATAATAACAAATAAAGGCTTTTAACAGAAATAAAAAACAAAGAAATACAAAAATAAAAATAAAAACAACAACAACAACAACAAACAAAAAAAAACACGTTGTTTTACTCTTATTAATTAATATAAACATCGAACAACTTCATCTACTATATACCATCATCGATCATAACTCCTTTCACTGTATAAGTTTTAATACAACTATCGAGATGTGCAAAAAGTATTTCTAAACGTCTATCAATAGCAATAAGATGTTCATCAACGAGAATCATTTCTAATTTTTCATTAGTTTTTAATGAATCTGAAACTAATTTTGAAAAACCTTGATGATAAATACGATATAAACGTGCAAATGTTGTATAACGAAAAAAACAACATTGTCGAATAGGTGATAAAATTGATAAATCATCATAATCATATCGACCAAAACTTCGACCATTATCTAAATGTATTAAAGCTGTATTTGTACCAAATGAATTAATACGCATCATATGATGACGATCCAAATTACCTAAAAACAAAAAATAATCCTAAAATATTAATATAAAGAAAAAGAAAATTTACCTATAAGAAAATCAAATGCTGATAGATCCATCATATCAAGTAATAAACGATTATGATAATCTTCATCTATCATTACATGTTCATAACAATAATCTTCATTTGATTCCCATTTAACTTTTCGTATTGAACTATATGATCGACGATATGGATGAATAATTTTTTGCCAATTTATTTCAGGTGGTCGTGGTAAAAGAATTTGAACAGAACCTTCTAATTGATCACCTGGTTTACCACAAACAGCGTGTGACGTATCACAATAATATGAACAATGACCACGGAAGCACAGATTATCAGCTAAAAAGAAAAATTTATATACTAAAATTTGTTTAACTCTTTGGAGATTAATTTTTTTCAATCAATTTATGTTATTTAACTCAAAATGATTACATAAAAACGTTATGATAATAAAAAAAAGAATTTTCTTTTTTTTTCCTTATCTTTTAAACAGTATCCTAATTATTTGCACAAGTGTAACATTCGATGTTGGATCTAACTTGTCGTTCTTTTGTGTTTATTTGACAAGCAGATGCATTTCATTATTAATATAGAAGATCGACTATGGTGATTCTAGTATAGGTTTCTTCTTAGAAGAATGTTTTTCAAGATTTATCTGCTCAGCGTCAAAGCATAGCGACTTCGCTATTGAAACCATGCTATTTAAGTGTGATAGTTCATTCTAAACTAACTGATTGTAACAATTAAATCAGTTGAAACAAACTAGATGCATTGAGAAATTAAATAAAAAGACGAAGTCAGTTTATCAGAGACTTTTGATCAAGAGTGTAGTAGGATATTCTTTGATTGAGTGGATTAGCTTCATGTACAAGCTGATTGCAATCATCTATTGCTTTTGGGCTATTGGGTGCAATAAATTGGCTGTTTTCAGAGAAATAATTACGTCATGATGTAGTATCATAAAGAGAAGAGAATATCTCTAGAAAGATCTATATGACATAAAGAAAGAAAAGATATCCTATCAATGATAAATATAGCAATGTATGATTATGAATGTCTAACATTTTAATGTAAAGAAAACAATTTTTTATTTATGGAAAGAAAAAGAGATGATACAGCATATGTACTACCGTCCTCAAAGGATTAAAAGAAATTTCTTTACCAGGTGAAATAAAAAATGTTTTAGCTAATTCTTCTGTTGCTTTGTCACGAATATCACTAGTTATATTAAGAAATCGCCCGATTAATGGAGGAACACGATTGAAACCTAGAATTCTAAAAGAGATATTATTATCAAAACAAAAGAAAATCAATATTGAATAAGACGATTTACTTGTCTACATGAAATGCTGCTATTTCAGCATGATGTCTTTCAACATCACTAAAATAAAAATGATCTGGTTGTGTTTGATAATTACGCGGTACTCTATATAATCAAGAAAATAAAAACTAAAATTTCATAAGAATAAAAAAATTTTCAAAACCTATAAGGTTTTAATAATCCTTGAAAACCATTGGGTAAGTCAAGAATAATTTTAATCTGAGTACCTTGTGACATTTCATCTGCAAACTCCCGAAGAAAAAAATATTAAATGAAAAAGAAAAACAACTTTCATTCACATACTTGCTTCAGTTATTTTACCATATTGCAAATGTTTTAGAAGATTTTTAAATTCTGGACTATGTGGATCGTAGATATGAAAATTAGTTACTGTTTTTATGTACTGAAACCATGTTGTATTCAATCTCCTGAAACGATAAAACAAACCACAAGAGATTTATAATCTAGCAAAATGATTATTATTGAATTATATCAATTAATAATTCATATATTGAAAAAGAAAAGAAATCATTAAGAATTTTTATTATATGTGAGACAATATTCTATTGAATAGAATATATAGAAAAAAAAATGATATATTGAGTTTTAATGAAAATGATCCTTCATTAATCAATAGGAATTAAATTTTTTTTTTTCATGTTTCTGTATCAAATTTATTGTCATAAAACTTTATGTGGCGTCAATAGAAACATGTTCATAATGATTCTTTACCCTATGCAAAGTGTTTTATATATTTTGAGGACTTTTATATGAGCATTAAGTGTTTGTGTCAGACTTCAAAATAATATATGATTGTGAAATATGTTCTCTCTTGTAATAATACAAATATACACATATGAGAATATTTGAAGATAGATTTTTCAAAATCGATCAACTTGATTTTTTATTTAAAAATTTTTTTTTTAGTAAATTTCTAAGCAATACTTAGTAGAAACCAATAATTCTTTGTCTTAATGCATTCATTCGGCACTTATTAGGATCCACTGGTTACATGTTTAACCAAGCTATGCAATCAGTAATCGAATTACAAAAAGTATGAAAACGTTACACGCAGAACAAATAACAAAGGACAAAAAATGTCATGTTGAATTATAAATGAACTATTTAACAATAAACGACTTGTACCTGAAGAAGGTGATGCTAAATTTGCTGACGTACCGCCCACTTCAAATATATAGCGAGTATCAAAGAAAAAAGTTCAAAGAAAAGAATTTTTTTCAAACTCTAAATAAACAGCTAGAAAGTAAATTGAACAAAGAATAAAAAAAAAAAACTTGTGATGATTGCCAAAAAATAATTGATAAAATTTCTGAGAGATATGACAAATTAATAAAACGTGGTTGACAATAAATGTATGATAATTAAATGAAACTTTTATGTAATCAAATTAATACATGTATTTATAAAATAGAATTTCTTTTTCGTGTTTTTAATAAAATATCTTGTTGATCGATTGAGAAAAATTTATTCTTACATTCTCATTTTTATATTTTTATTATTACAAGTGAAGATACTATTCAACAATAAAATGTCATTTGAAAGATTGATACTAGCATTAAAGGCCCATATACAAACATTTGGTAAGGGATTAGTCTCTGTGTAAATATAAAATAATTTTATTAAGCTCCAAGACTTTTAAATCATCCGATAGACATGACTTTGAAAATAAAGAAGATAATAATTCATATCCATCAGCGACGGAACTATAGTTGAATGAAATTAATGAATAACACGACAAACTAAATTATAGTTTTCAAAAAGAATCTTGCAAAACAAACAGTTACTTATTTTTCTTTCATAGCAAAATATGCAAATGGTTTGATGTTCACGTCACAAAAATTTTATGGTTAAACTCAATATTCTCTTTTAAATAAAAAAGAATATACTAGTCCATAAATAGAAACCTTCTTATACATAATAAAAATAACTTCTTAACATTTTATGATTTTATTAAAAGAATGCTTGAGGCTAAAAATGATTGAATATTAGTAGTGTTTCTCTAAAAGCATATTTCTTTTCCATCAAATTAATCGACTTATGTTTCATGTTGAATAAATAAAAGCTTTTTTTTCTCCTAGACTCGAATGCAGAAAATATGATAAGTTTTTCTTCTTTTCTCTAATATGTCGACAAGGAAAAATCTTATTTATATAGAATAGCTTTTCAATTGATATTATTAACGAGAAAAAAACTATATACAAGCTATAATCGGATTAAGACTTGAAATCTACTACATTAATATACGTTCTTCACTATAACATACCGGAATGCATCGTATATACATTCATCGATGATGTTACTATTCTTATACTACTCAGATTAATTATCATATCAAGAACAAAAAAAAAGCAAGGAAGACTATTGCACACAATCATAATCATTTATTATAACTAATCCTAACTGACTAAATCATTATCATTTGTGAAGAAAAAAAAAACGTAAACTACGAATCATCATATAAAGTGCACATGACAGAATCAGCCTTACTATCTATTATGTAAATGGATGGGTTCATAATTTATGATTAGGAAAGTTTTGGTTAAATATAGAAATAAAAAGAAAAACGAAGATATACATACTCGGGCTCATCTTGTACTAATGCATCATACATAATATCAGCTAAAGTTATTCTTTTATCATTGAAATGTTCTTGTTTCCATTTGTTTAAAGCATGATGTATAAAAAATCGTAATTGTTTTTTATCATGTTCATTGATAGTTTTTCCTGCTATTGTGGAATTAAGTTGTGGTTTAGCATTTGTTACTTTCACACTGGTTGAATCACCTGTGTCAATATGTATATTTGTATCATTATTACCAGTTTGTGATAATTGTTTAACAAATTTTTGAAAACTCCATGTTGGATCGAGAGAATAATACTGTTTTTTATTAGCTGAATCGATTTGATCATTTCGAGCATTACGTACTAATTGAAAAAGTTCATCGATACGTTGACGACTTATATATGATGAATGATTAGTTAATTTAATTGATTTTGTTGCTTTTATATCATAGATATTTTGTTGATTGAGAGCCGACCAAAATGGTATATCAACAGATGGTTTAGGAGGTTTTGGAATTTGTTCTTGTTGTTCAAGTTCAGCTGTTGACCATAAAAATGTATGAAATGTTAGAAGACAGAAAAGACTTAGTGTCGTCAAGCTGAAGAGAAATGAAGAACGTAAACGAAGGCGTAAGTACCGCATTCATTTATTACACCACGATGTGATGATTTTGTGTCTTTTTCTGAAAAAAAAATAGAGAAATGCGTTTTGCATAGTACGTGTATCTTTTTCTCTTCTTCCAATTCTTCCAATTCTTCTGATTCTTTTTCTCTCCCATTTCTCATTTGTGTTTTTTTTTCTGAGGACATTGTCAACAACTCGGGTAACTTTATTATTCTTCGCTTACTAAAGGTTGGTGACAGTTGGTGTTTTTTTTTTGATAGTTTCGTCTAGTTGGCTGTATTTACATAGAATCTTGGAAGTTATGTTTTTTTTTTTTGATTTAGCTGAATACAATGGAAGTTTCTTTATTAAACAATATTAATTATCTTTCTTTTGTTTTAATGATACATCTGTTTTTAAAACTTTCTAAATTTTCAGAATCGTTGAAATGAAATTCTTTCATACTGATATTGCACTGAGATAATAATTATTTAACTGCGAATATTATTCTATATATATATATATAGAAGCGATTCATCTAATTTCAACGTGCGTAAAATATCAAATAAAATTTATTTAATTTTAAGAACGCATTATTAATTTTTATTGGTAAAATTTTACTTATTTTTATCTATGACAAAAAGAAAAATGATCCTTGTGGTTTCAACAATAGCTTGCTTGCAAAACATAAGGTAAATTATATGAACCACTCGAGAAATCAACACCCTACTTAGTCAGATAATTACATAACAAAAAAAAAAGACTCAATATTTACTGAACTAAAATTTCCCCGAGAAAGAAAATTTTGTGAAGAAAAAAGTTAAGATAAAATTTTTTCAAAAACTCACGAAATTTATAATAAAATAAGTAATAAATCTAATGGGAAAATGGACAGCTTGATAGAGCAATGATTATGTTATTTATTCATCGAAAAATCGAGAGTCTTCGTACTCAAGTAGGTGATAACTAAGGAATAAAATTAATTGAGAAAAACAATTTCGAAACTACTCAAAGAAAAAAAAATTATAATTAAATACTTAACAAAATTTTTCAAAATTTTAGACAAAATAATAATATGAAAACTATATTGATCAATAAAGTAATTAATACTCTATTGAACAAAATCAAAACAAGTAACTTTCAAGAATTTTCAAAAATACAAGAAACGAAACAAAACTATCCAAAAAAAATAAGATCATTTAATCCATGTTCTCTTTCCATACGTTTGATCTATTAAACAATGTGTTCAAAATAAAAATGTGAATATGATAACAAATTCGGATTTTCATTACCTATACGGTATAAATTCTTTCATTACATTAAAAATAGATACGACAAGAGGGAAAAAAGCTACGAGAGTAAACAAAATTATTATGACAATCAGATCAGACCGACTTTTACGACGTTTTCTAGAAAAAGATCTGTTGCAAAGCGGGAGTAGCTGACATAATAATGCTCAATGTTAATGTTATTATTGCTCGTGCACAAATACAATATGCTACTTAGAATTAACTCGTCTTTACATTTTCTCTTTCCGTACGTCTTACTTATTTTTCTAATTCAAAAAACAGTCGCATACCAATCAATATTTGCTATATTTCCATTTGTTTGTGCATGTTTGCAATAGGAAAATCTCAATCTGTTGTATTAGAGAACCATAATAAAAAAAAAAAAAAAGATTGTTCCACGTCAAGTTAATTCTATCAACGTAAGAAAAAGCAAATCATTTTGGTCAAACAAAAGCAAAAGAAAAAGAAGAAAACTGTCGTCTTCAGTCGTATTAGAGAAAAAGAATGTTTCTATGTCTGTGTAATCGACAGTCGTATGTGCTCTTTTCTTTGTTATGATAGAAGCACATGGGCACATGTATAAGCTATAAGGTGTATTACAGAAGAACAAGAATAAAAATACCCATTTTATTTACATTTAGACGTTCGTCCCGAAGGAAGTTTGCTATTATAAAAAAAAGAGCACGTATAGAAAGAATGAAGTATAACATTTCGAACATACATCGATCATTAAGACGTAATTACTAAAAAAAAAAAGATAATAAAGCTCTCGTAATAATTTCGTTTCTTTTGGTTATAACTAATAGCCGACCTTGAAAGTAGAGATCAAATAAAAAAAAAAAAAACTTCTTATTTACAAAGAATCCTTTGAAGTATTTTATTTCATAGTGAACTTTCGAATTGTATATACTATTGAAAATTCAATCTAATATAATACTAGTTATTTCTTATGATACTTCTATTAAAATAAATCTTTAGTTGTTTGAAGATTTTCTCATTCATTAATAATGTGATAGATAAAATAATTGCTCTTAAAATCTGTTATTAAAAAAACATATCAAAAAAGAAAAAAACTATTTATTCTGATTGATTTATTTTATTGAGATTTTGACAAGTAGAATAAATAGAAGTTGAATGTCAACTAGACAAATCTTTCATATATATGAATGATTATTAATAAATAACTTCTTGAATCAAATTCAAATTTATGATTCTTTGACAATAAATCATATATACATATTTCATGTATTAATCAATACCAATATATTCTGAATAATTCAATTTTCACAAAATCAAATTACACAAGAAAAAAAAAAGGATTTATTATTACTAACAAATTCGATGGTACAGAATCATTTATAAATGTCAAATCATGACATATGTACGATTGATATATTTTAATAATAAACATTTTATATAAATCTTGAAGAAAAACAGCCATATTATTATTGAAATTTTGCTTTTGTACCAAATAATAGAATATTTAGCATGTACTTTCTGAACTTTCTTTTCAAAGAGATAATACATATACACAAATAATGAAACAGATGGCTAATTACATACTATTATTCTATCTTAGTTGATTGTTCTCTTCATTTATAATAGCTACACTAAATCCAGAAGGGATTTCCGATGTTTTTTAATGATAAATAATATCATATAAAAAAAAACATTATTTACCTTGAAGTCAATACTTACGTTACAAACAAATCATACATCGTGATTTATATCAATACTTTTTATTGAATGTCTACAGTGAGTGCGTCATAATTCCCACAAAATATTTTTTTCACATAGGTGAAGAGAGCAAATCAACTTGTCTACAAAAACCTATTTTGCGAATTTTTCAAAAATCAAATAAAATTTTGGCAAAATATCGAATTTCAAATATTATTAACTATATGTGAATATGTTTTTTTTTCTTCGTTCATGTAGAAAATTTGTAGAGATTGTTTTCTGATATCGTCATGAAAAAAGGATTAGAAACAAGAAAGCTTTAAAGTTTATTACTTCTAATCAATTTTGCATGGAGAATGAGAAAACAATCTGGAAAAAATTTCTAGAGAATGAATTAAAAACACACTCATGTATATTTTATGATACTTAAAATTCTTTGTTTTGTCAAAATTCCATTTTCAAAACAAAAAAATTGCAAATTAGTTTTTTCTAGACCGGTTGATGTGCTTTTTTCATCCAAATAAGAAAAAAGCTGAAAAAAAAATATTTGGAAGAAATTTTGCATACTGCGCACCAGATGTCAAAAAAAAATATCAGCTGTAGTTATACACATTACCTTTTCTCATGTAAGCTTGTTCGCATTGATAACGACAATCTACATAGAGTTTTTGATTTCAATGATGTTATTACAATAAAAAAGAAAAAAGCTGCAACTTTAATTTCTTCAAATAGATTTTGAAGTATCGATTGAGTCTATAGTGAACAAGTTGTTTTTTTTATTCAAGTTGTCGAAAACCTTTTTTCTTTTCACGCTAAATAAACTTGAATGAAAAAGATATGAGTGGGTAGTTTAACACATTTATAAATATTGATTTATTCATCACGCATACGAACATACATTCATTTGTGTATTTATTTGAATACTTAAAAACAAAAAACTACGATTAAAAGTTTGTGAAAACTTTATTTTCTTTTTTTGAAATTTTTTATATAGATTTTCACATACACCAAATGTTGATTACTATTACTAAACAACTATCAATGTGAATGATGGAAGATAATTAAACATTCATAATTCTTTTACATCTTGATACGAATACAAAAATGAAAAAAACCTAACACATTAGAATTTTATTAGGATATTTGAATTTTTTCATGAATTGAAACTAAATAATATTGTCAATCTAAGTTGAATAATAATATTTGTTTAGTTTTTTTTCGAATAATCTAAAACTATGAGATGTGAATTTATCATTTTTTGAGAAGTTATCAAAAAATTTTGTTTTGACTGTTTACAAATATTCAAATGAACGATATTATTTGAATTAACAAGAATATCAATCTTTATCTCGTTTCATTTAAAATTATTTCTAGATTATCGATTTAATTTAATTTTCACATACACTCTTTATATTTACGGATACGTCTATATCGTATTCGACTGGACCTCATACAAAATATCACGTTGTTAATGATTTGCATCTTATTGATTTTTTTAAACAATTTAAACAAAAACAAAACAAATTATATGTAGAATATATATGCTTTCATGAAATATAACACAAGACCTTGTGATTATCTTTGGCATTATTTCTTTACCAAATAGAAAAAGAAACGAAAGATAAAGGCAATTTATTGGTATATAACAGTAACCAATCAAAGTTTATCTTTAAAAAGATCATTGTTATTAACCTTGTTTGTACTAGACAAACAATGTAGAAATAATTTCAAATGAAATTAAATATCGACTTCATCTATCCTGTCAGTTCATTATTCAGAATTCAAAAGTGACAACTAAAATATAGTAAAAATCCATCATATCACGAGAGGATTTGTTGCTTCTGTCTTGCCTCTATTGTAAGTCANAGCGTTTTAATGGAATAAAATATCATTTTTCTTTCTTAAACTATTTAGCATAAACTATCAAAACACAGTATAAAAAATGTACAGACACACATCTGTTTTTTAGGTTCAATACCAAGTTCTGGGATTAAGCTTCGTAGTTTTAAAAACCACTCGCAAAAAATGCCCAGTCGCCTCTTTTAGGCACCTTTTTATGTTCATGCAAACATCTTAGCCTCGGCACTAGATTAGAAAAGCAATTCAGCCCTTATAATGAGAAGCATTTTGTAGAGCTTGAATTTCTGCATCTTTTGATAAAAAAAGAATAGTTTTTGTAAATCGAAGTTTCGATAAAATTAACGCGAAAAAGTACGATTCCATTGGCCGAGATTGTTTTACTGATGTTTTGCGGTTTTTAAAGCCGAAACAATTAAGCTTATAAGAGCAAACACACCACGAGAAACACCGAAAAATTCCACATCTCTTACTATGAAGATACATTTTTTGAGCTGCAATTAACTGGGCAAAAATTCTTATACACAATTGTCTCATTTACCAGTTGAGCAGTTAATGTTTTTGTGGCATCTAGTACCATTAGTGATACAAGAGAAGAACAAATGCTCATTTTGCAAGGAACATATCAATAAAATCTACACTAAATTCTCTATCTTTTAACATCAAAACGAAACTTCCTCATCAAGTGTAAGTTGAGAAAACAGCATGTCAAAAGTCGGCAATTTATTCTGCCGCACCCGTTAGTTTTCTTCTTTCACGCATTGATGAATGGCAGCAAAGTACCATTAAAAAAGTGAAACAAGCTGGTAAGCAAGCTCGAAAGGAAATTATTAAATTAATAAATTTCAAACGAATGAAATTGACAAATCATTTTGAAATATTAACTCAAGAATTTAAAACGCTAAGAGAAACTGAAAGCTTTATTGAACAAGATTTAACACGATTAAAACAAATGATTCATCAATTGAATGAAGATTTAGAAAATTTAACTAAGCCATCTATCACCAACCTGCATGTAAAACAAACTGATGAGATTGCATGGAATCAACGCATTAACATCAGAAACAATAAATCTTGTGCTACGGAGAACCAATTGAGCCAGCAAACATCGACAGGTGAGTGTATTAAAGATTTTTGAAATCGAAAAGTTTGATTTTTTTCTTTGCATGTTTTACAGATCAAAGTTTACTAATATGTAGCATGCATGTACCAAATACGATTAAAACAAGAAATAATAATGACGACAACCATGATGAAGATGATTCATACAAACGAACTTCTACAAATTGAAAAATTGCTCAATTATCACCTGTTGAAGCAAAAATAGAAGAACAAGATGAAAATATTTTATTTTGTGAACGAGCTAAACTTTATAGTTTTTAGAGAATACATCCTATTCCGCGATGTTGAACATTCCGGAATCACTTCCGTTCAATTCCGGGAACTCGATCATGATTCTGTAGAACAGACTTAATTGATATTGATCGGGTTCCGTCGATTTCCAGAATTCCTGGAATTGAATGAAGACGAAGTTATAGGAAATTCCTAGGTATTCCTTCTGATTCCGGGAATTCCTTCTGATTCCGGAATTCCGAGAATTCCTTCTGATACTGGAATTCCGGGAATTCCTTTCAATTCCGGAATTACACGGAATTCCTAGACATTTCGGAATTGGTGAAACTCGATCGGTGTCGAGTAGGTCTATTATGCCGAATGATGATCGAGTTTCCGGAATTAGATAGAACTGATTCCAGGGGGAACTGATTTCGGAATATTCAACATTGCGGAATAGGATAACTGCTCCGTTTTTATGCTGAATCAAATCAAATGAAAGAACGTGGTATGGGTGAAATGAAAATTTTACAACATAAAACAACAAATCTTTGTCGTATTTCTATGCGTCATGAGCAAGGGTTGAAATTGTGCGTAAATCATCAAATAACATCACAAATGGAATTAAAACCACATCAAACTTCAGAAAATGCTTATGTTTAGTCCGCTATAGATTTTAGTGATGATGAAGCAAAAGAAGAAATATTTTGTGTAAGATTTAAATCAAGTGATCAAACGAAAAGATTTGTTCAACAATTTAATGAAATTAAACAAGCAAATGCAAACATTCGGCAGTAAGATCCAAAAAAAAAGTGCTTCATGAAACATTGTTCTTATTCTAAATTGATATGTATTATGCATTTGTGTATATGTGCCGATATTGTTTTTTATTACTATTAACATGAAAACATGAAGAAAAGGTAGTCACGATTGTCTTTGAACAAATGTTTTTATATATGACAATTGCGAATGCTAGATAATTAATCGGAAAGATAATCAAATGATTAATTGATTGATATCGCTTATTAGAAATATGCTAATGCCTGTCAATAAAATTCTTCTTGTTCTGAATATCGCTATATTTGCTTTTCAATTTCTGTCTAACTTCAATCTGTTGATTGATCGAAATGTAACTTCTGGTTAGTCGTAGAAAGGCGAAAAGGAAAAATGTCGAAACTAGAAAAATATCGTAAAAACAAACATGTCTCCGGTAAATGCTGACTCTAATCCTTTATAGTTTATTATTGGTGTAAGAGTGAAATAAACCAAAACAATTGCTATTCAGCATTGTATAGATAATGTTGGCGAACGATATTATAATAGTCTTATAAATATAATCGAATATTACGATGCATTGTCTTTTACAGTTGCTAAACGAAAAACAAAGACACTGTTATTCATTTCGTTTTTTTTATCTCTTGACTTATGTATGATCTATGTTACAATGTTAGTATTATGTCAAAAATAAAGAATGTCTTATTAGTTGAAATGTTCGATATTTTTTTTTTCTTTCGGTCTTTCCATAAACATATACCTAACTTTTCTGAAATATTGACAGAAAAATGCCCTAATTCCAGTAAATAGTCAATATCGTTTCGCGAAAATCATTTCGTACTCAATTATAGAAACAAGTATTTATTTTCTAGGAGTTATCAGTTTCTCGATAATCAAAATTCAAAGCTTCGTACTGCATCTCCCAGTCGAGAACATGAAAAGTTAGAAAATATTCGTTGAAATGCAAGATGAAAATATCGAGATTGAATCGATATCATTTATTTTTTGGTCTTTAGTAAAGTTTTTGTTTTGTTTTTAGCGAGCGTGGGAAAAAAACGAATTTATGCAAGGCTTGTCTTTTTTTTATACTCTCAAGTTTATTAAAACGAAAAACAGCACGAAAGGTTGCACGCTACTCTCTGTTTTTCGAGCTATATAAGGTAATTAAAATGAAATCAATCACATATTCATCTGTAAGAACAACTGACTCCACGTCATGACTAGTTGGTAGTCTTATGGATGTCTTTCTGTTGAAAAGATGTTTGATGACAAAAGATCGATTGATAAGTACTTTCGACCTTATCGAGCTGTTATCTAGTTATCTCATTACTTATCTGAATTTATGACGTAGGGTATTACACCATCACAATGCAATGTTAGTTATCTCTTACATGAAACTGAGAAGTATAAATAGATTTGTGTCGTTTAGCAACAGTAAAAATTTACCTTCAAAAACTATTGAACAATGATGAATTTTACTGGAACAATTGTTCTTATTTTTCTACTACATCAAATGGGTTTTATTGAATGTCTACGATGTGCACGTGATTGTGGTTTTGTTGCTTTTCCTCTCAATCGTCCAGTACCCATGAATGCATGTCAACTTGCAGAACAAGATAATGCCCAATGTTCAGTAATTGTAACAATTGATTTCAAGAAACGTTTTGTTACCGGTGTATTAAATATAGGAAATCATGTTAGTATTGCTACTCTTCGGATGGAAACTAAATTTCAAGTAGAATCAGGTTCAATCATGTCAACTATATGGTATACATGTGCAATGTCGGATTATTGTGATTTTGAATTTCTTAATGAACTAATGACTGATAAATTAGCTAACTTGAATGCAATATCTGTTCAACAAAAATTAATTGATTTACTCTATAAATCAACACCTGATCCAACAGATATTCAATGCACTAAAGAATTATGTCCAGCTAATAGTTTTTGTCAAGCAGATCTACAAAACACGGTAACATCACAATATAATTATACATTCATTAATGAAAGTTTACCATGTGTTCATATGTCATCAAACAATAGTTTATTGGAAATTAGTCAACGATTTTCATATTCTGCATTTCAAGTAGCGGCAATGACTCTTTTATGCAATCATAAAGAATGCAATAATAACAGAACTGTAGAAGAAGCTTATGCATTAATTCGCAATGAATTCACTATACCACTTAATTATTCTATATTAAGTATTAACAGAACTTCTATCATAACAACAACATCGTTGCTATCTGGTGGTTCATTTTTAGTTCTATCATATGGTATTACCATTTTTTTTCAGCTATGCTTTTTCTTTTATTTTTTTTAAATAACGATCAGGAATGCTAACATTTGCTTTCTATTGCATACTGAAATAAAAAACGTCAGAGCACTTAGATTGTCGTATAAATGTTAATGCACTTTATCTATTGTGAAATTTTTATTCCTTGTTATATTCAGAAAAACGAACAAAGATTTTTAAAAAAAGCTGTTAGCGCAATCTCTGTGAAATTACAATGTGAAACACAATATAACTGCTGTTGTTAGTCACAGGAAAATGACTTTATTCTATCTATTTTGGGACATATTTCTTCATCATCCTTTTCCTTACTCCTCCAGGAATGCAATACGACACTAGTTCATACACGGTCTTGGATCTGTCACAGTCTCTGGGAGGGGAGGGGGATGGAGTGGATCCGAATTTCTACTTTTATACTTCCACATTCGTTTTGGATCATGCTATACAAAAGTATATCTTAGTATATTGGAATATGTAGTTCGAAGAAAACAAATATTTTATTGTTCATCATTTAAAATGCAATGCAATACTCTTGAATAAAAAAAAAGCTCAACTATCCTCAACAATACATTCACATATACCAGTATATATAAAATGATTATCATTTTAGAGAATTCATATAGAATAAGTAAAATATTAAGATTTGACATATCAATGTTTCAAAGTTGCTATGAAATAGACAAAATTTCAAATGATCAATTTCTTGAAACGACTCATTTTTCAAAGCAAATGAAAATAATGAAACGATTGCTTCGAATAAATAAAATTGCAATAGAATACAAGAAAATGATTTGAATTGTTAACAACCAATAGAAGTTTTCTTGTAGCGATGATATATGGGAAACGTTTTTGAAACTATTATTCGTTAGAATATATAACAAGAGAAAAGAAAAAGACTCGAACGAAAACATCTGATAATTAATCGATTCCATCTGGATACTGTTCATTCAACTCAAAATTGTTACAGTGCATGGAGCATCACATCTTTCTTATATGTACAAGCCAATTGTTTTCTTTCCAAATCTGAATAATCAACAAAGCTTTTAGGACTGAAATGATCTAAGCTGTCATACCGAAACCGTGATAAGAAGTATTGATCTAATTAGTATATAATAAACTTAAGCAAGTTATAACCTTGTAATTCAAGAAACAATCAAAAATAAGAAGAATATTAAGTCAATAGAATATATCTGCTTTTTCTTTGGTTTATCAACGTATTTACTTTTTATCGTAAAAAAAGAGAACTTGTTATTTCTTATAAAATGGCAGGGAAAAGTTTAGCGCCCTTGTAATTTTTTAGATATTTTCTTTATACTAATGGCTAGGATGAATCAGAGAAAAACCTTTAAGTAGCTGAAAAAATTTTCCATCGAGAACTATATATTTTCTTCTTCTATTGAAACTTTATGCGGAAAGACTTTCTGGAAAACCTAAATTTCTAAAAAACATTTTTCTGGATTTCATCGGAAAGCTTTTCCAAATAGGCTCATCTGAGAGAGCAAACATTTCTGAACATAATGAGATGTTCCTGCGTCCCTGTGACATGTCTTCATGAAACTACTACGATTTTATGAAATGTATTGAAGCATAAAACATAAGAAACTTTCGAAAAATGGCCTTGAGACCATTTGTAGATACACTGCAGTATGATGAAGAGAAATCATAGAGAGCTCCATGTAGTGCTTTAGGTAGATTTGGATGTGTTGGTGCAAATACGAGTGTAAATTCTCTCTCCACACATCAAACTCACAATCACATCCACAGCCTCTTTCATTATTTGCCTTAGTTTTTTATCTCATTACGAATATGACATGATTGAACAGTACATGAATTCTCATCTTATAGCGATAGGAATTTATGTCTATCCATAATACAAACAATGGCGCGCATGATATTGGTTCCCGTGTTGTCGAATAGGGTTATAGTCGGCTAAGCATAACCAACAGAATTCATATTTACAATGGCGACATGTCATGTGGTCACATCCTTCATTCTTCTCAATATGTGCATTGCATCTAGGACACTCTTTGGTATGATCACGGAGCCAGTTCTGATTTTGTTGCTCGTCCTGATCGGATTTCAATTTTCGGTCATATTCCATGCAGTTCATCCCAGCATGCCACCTAATTCGATGATGGGCACACGTTTTATTTTCGCAACGTACACACTTGAAAATGGGCCCTCCATCATCAACGAGTTGTCCACCCCAACCGCACCCATGTGCACACCAGACAAAGTTCTTCATTCTCTCGACATATCTCATAGTCAATTGATCTTCAAATCTATTCACAGCTGTTGTATACCGGTCCAGAGATGTGTTAAAATCAACTAGAAGTCTTTTAACCGTGTCAAAATCGAACGAAGCACCACAATCTTCCTCCGGACAGTAGACATCAGCTGTGGAACAATCCTTAAAGGCATTGTATGTGTTCAGACGCACACAATCAGTACAAATTTGGCGTTGAGCGTGTTGACATGCCGAACTAAAAAGTTCTCCAAAGTCAGCGACGGATTTTTCATTGAGACAGACGACACATTCACGAGTGCGTGGTTTTGCTGTTCTAAAAAGATCATATGTATATATGGAAAAAATGATAAATAGCTTATCACTCACGGAATTCGCGGTAGTTTGAGCGTTTGTGGCCGAGCAGACAGATGTCTAGGTGCCGGTGATGGAACATATCTCCACATGGATGAGGAAGGTCTTGATGCTGAAAAATGTCAGAAATGCATATCTATCGTACGAAACTCCTATTTTCAAAAACATAAGTGTAAGAATGTTTTGAATAGAATAATAGAGTAAGTATGATTTCCAATTGTTGTGGTGCATAAAATTCTAATTAATAGTAAAAACGATAGAATTCAGCATGTTTTCTCACCTGCTAAACACTCGTCGAAAGTTCTATAAGTCTGAGCGTATTCTTCCTCTTCCTCATCATATGAAATGGAATTTACCATTAATCGATTCGGAAAAGGTGTGAAATTTCTACGCAGGAGTCTTGTTGATTCGTAAAACGGCGTCGAAGCTCTTGCTGGAGTTCGTGCGCGTTGAATCATGGGTAAAGGTGACTGCCTTATTGCACTGAACACACGCCGTTCTTGTCCACCTATTGAATAAACAGAAAGCTAAAAGTTCATAGGGAAATAACGACATTGGTGCTTTCTGTCTTCAAATTCATTGCATGAACTTTCATCAGCTATTTAAAAAAGTAGAGTAGTCAGTGCTATGAGATCTTGATAAGTCTATTCAACTCACTTGATTCTTCGTCGTCTCGATCAACAAGTCCGGATTGCTCATATCTGACAACAATTATCATCGTCATAGAATAACTGTGTGGCTACTTATTACCTTTGTTCTAATTCCAAGCGTAGTGCACATTCGTGTTGCTCACAATCAATACGTCGTTGTTCATATCTTGTTTGAAAGGTTTCCTTGATAAGAAGCATAGAGAAGCATTTATGGTCAAATCTCTACTATACTTACGGATTGTTGTGAGTATTCTTCACATTTTGTCATCTGGTTCAGATATTCAAGTGCATTGCAGTAAGCTACATATGCTAATTCTCGATCACCTTCCACGTTCAAACACTGTTCTGCTTCACTTTTGACCGTCTTATATAATTTTTGAAATCGTTTGAATGTTAATGGTTGATTACGGTTATGACGAACACCAATTTGAGCACGTAAATCAGCCATGCTTCTAGCAAAGTACAGAGGTATCGGTTTCACCATTTCTTTCTTGCTCACGACAACGTTAATAGATAAATGTAACAACACAGGTTATCTCACTGGACTTTATATTCCGATTCAGGATTGTTATCTTCAAAACACTTCGCAATAATTTATGACAAAACAAATATCTTGCTTTTTTGAAGAAAAAGCTACGATAAATAGTCATGTGTTTGATCTCATACTTAGGGGTACCCAAAAGTAGTGGCGGAGGTACATTATTGTCGTATAGAAGGCTTGAGAAAATTTTCTTTTTATATGAAATGATAGAGAAAATAAAACTCTATTTTTCTGTACTATTTCATCCCTATTCACCTGGTACCATAATAATAAAATTTCGATAGAAACTTTTTTT